TTAAACCTCATGCTTCAGGGTTTAAACCCATCTTTAACTGTTAGAGATCAGGATGAGACCTAAAGTCGAATAATCTTCCCTTCATATCTACCCACTGCAGGATTCTTATACTTACCTCTGAAGCAACAGGTGCTGGCCACTATTGGAGACTGTGATGAAGTATATACTCTATCCTGGTTCTGAAAGGGTTAGTATCAACCTGAGAGGCCAATTAACCCATGTGATTGCACGTGGAGGTGGGCCAGCCCCATTAAAGATTAGTTCCAGCTGGTAAAGCTCAGTGATGACAATAAAGAAAGGACATCAGTAGCAGAAGGTTGGTGAGGACTGGAGGTAGTAAAGCCTTGAACCAGACTGATTGTCCTGAGTCAGGAGGAAGTGAAGCGAAGCGAAGCCCAGAAGGTAGTGATGGTAAAGCCTAAGAGGCATTTGGATGACGTTTGAGGGGCCACAGGGAGAGAGTGAATAACTCTGACTCTCTGGGGCTAAAGAGTGGTGAGACTGGGAGAGTCAAGGAGGAAGCCCAGATGAAGAGCTGGCCCTGGGATCCTCTCCTAAGTAGAGAAGCCAAGCAGAAGGCTAGAAGAGACCCAGAGTAGCCACTAGGGATATAACAGATGCTGGTGGTGAGGAGCCCTGATAAAAAGGCAGGATTTAGACTTCCAGGAAGAGAACCCTGGGAGGCCTTTGGTGGAGGAAGAGAGCAAGACAAACTTAAAAGGAAAGACAGGTCAAATCTGAGGAGGGCAAAATTTGGTTTAAATTTATACTTTCAGTTGGAGATTTGTTGGGGGATTCCAGAGGGTAACCTGCCCCTGAAAGAGGGGTGAATTAGAGAGACTATGGAAAAAGCCTACTGACCAGCTATGGTAGGAAGAAGTCCAGAGAGACAGAAGCAAGGAGTCTTAAGGAGCAGACCTGGGGTGCTGGTTATAGGGTCCCTAAACTGGAACCCAGTGCAGTCGGCAAGCCTGGATTCCCTTACCAGCCACAGATAAGATGGTGTGACGCCACTGAGAAAGGGATATGGATGACTGGCAGCCCTGAGAAAAGGGTGTATGGACCACTGGGCCCAGAATTGTGGGTGGCAGACCACACAGAGGGATGAGACATTTGTTTTTGTTGGACTTTCTGTTACCACAAAAAGAGCAGTCTAAACATGTCCTGGTCAAAGGGCTGAGTCCTGCGAAGCAGCAGACCACCACAGGACTGAAGTAGCCATCAGCAGGGCTAGAAGAAGAAAGCTGGATATGTCACGCCCAGCTGTGAGGAGACATGCCAGCCGTGAGTCAACTCTTCCACAGAGACATATTGGAGTAGATAGACCTTGAGTCTGATCCAGTATGGCAATTCGATGTGGATGCAGAAGTGTAACTGAGGCCTTGGCTACACTTACCCGGTAGTTCGGCGGCGAGCGATCGAACTTCTGGGTTCGACTTA